GGGGACTGTGTGGGATATCAGACAGTCCCCCCAGACGGAGAGGAGCACAGATCACCGATCTGGTAAGTACTAAGAATACCCTTAAGGACCGTTTTTGTAGGACGTACCTACTAAGTCCGCGGTCGGAAAGTGGTTTATATGACAGGCCAGAGACTGTCAAATAAATATATAGTTTTATGCTTTGCCAGCAATGTTTATATACGCATTTCAATAAAGTGAAAGTTGTGTGTCAAACTTACCTCTTTTTAAGAGTATTTACTGCTAGCAGTGTCTAAGTCAATACAATTTAATAATGTGATTTTTAGCCCTATCTATTTTAGTTGAATGCATTGTCAGCCATTGACATGCAAAAGAGACACTTAACACACTCACCTGTGCATATTTAGCACCTCTTGGATTGATGGAGAGCTCTCTAATCTCTTATACAAAATGCCATGGAAGTTAAATCCCATGAAACATGAGATAGGAAGAGCGATAGTGTAGGATTACATTTTTAGACAGTGACTGAATCTCCTAGAATGAATATTATGATATTTGTGTGCGGTGTCATTGTCTGCCCTTGTGGGTTTATCTCGTTGTGCAGAAGCTATTTATAACGTATAATATTAACTTGATACACAGCTTCATTTACTTACTTGAAAGTTTTCTTTTTCATGAAAATGATATGTGTGTAAGCCTTAAGACTTATCACACTGATTCTCTGATGGTTTCCTGTTGTCAAATCCTATTATTTCTGAGTATCACAAATAGCACGTTAGCTAGTTTATACCAAATCACATTGATTGATTAAAATGTACTTTTCTGTGATTTACTTTCAGTAGATGACATATATCAGTCAGCGTTTCTACATGGCAGTTTATATAGATACCAATGACCTTATTAGAAAGTGACAGGGAATGCTACCATAACTTAATTCAAACTGTTTATTGGTTGTTTTCTGTAACACACTGTTATTATTGTCCTGCCATCACACTCATGTTAAAGCACATATCCCCACTGCCCTGCTTCATAAAGTAATTTAATACTTATCTCGTTTTTTTTTTTTTTGTACATCTGTATTGCTTTCTTAGCTAAAAGTGGCAACCTTTTGGAATGTTAAAACTTCAGTATTGTCTCTCATTTTGCATTTCACTGTGTATTTTTTGACCTCTCTGGTATTTCCACTGTACTATCAGTGGTATATACTAGAGTCATGAAGAAAATAAGTGTCAGTCTTAAGCTGACCTTTAAACTTCATAGACCTTTAACCTTCCTTTGTCATTCAACAAACCATTAAACGATTGGTAGGCAAGTCACTTCACACTTGATCTGTGAATAAAATCAACATTTATTGGCTGCCACCAAGCCATCAATCATCTTTTATCCCCAACAACTTTCTTTTTTTCCACACTCTTGCAGGTGGAGTAGATGCAAGAGCAGTTGTCTTGTCCATTTCAAAATGCCATCTTGTACAAGGAGATCTTTTAAGAAATGTCTAAGAAATGTAAAACACAAAAACTATGGGCAAGGCTAACAGATGTTTGAGGTTTCTTCACCAAATAAAAATCCAATTAAGGGGCGGGACCTGACCTGCAAGATGGTCAGACGTGCCTCATTGTAGCTCCTGCTCACCGAGCTTTAGAAAAGGACAAAAATCTATTTCATTCATATCAGAAGCAGTCCTAAGCTCATGCTTTGCCAGTACTACTGTGAGCTACATCAATATAAGCCTGAAAGCCGGTGCCCTGAACGGTATTTACCTAATCTTGGTTTTGGTTTTATATACTTATGCCTCTGAGGCCTGCTGGGGCCTGTAGTCTGGTAGCTGGGAGAGGCGGCCGATCTCCCGACGCTGGGCTTGTGTCTTCCAGCGGATCCCTTGCGGCTCCATCACCCCCCTTGGATCGGTGGAGGATATACCGGTCCCCACTGGACACACATCTCTTCAGTCTTGAAACCATCTGATCTGGTAAACACATGGTATATCTAAGATGGCTGCCGAGCAACAGCTTCATCACAGCAACACATGCCAGACGAGCCAGTCATGGGAGGAGACTTTTTCGACCAGGTTTAAGGCAGGCGGCCAAGCGTTTTGGCTCCCCATTAGCAGCCGTACTCGTGATCCACCGAGCCCTGCCGATACGAACAGGGGGTTTACCGCCACCCATATGCTCCCTTCAGGCCGAGTTACTCACACCCGGCCAACCGGCCAAACACCCAACAAGGCGCCCAGATTTCAGAGCATCTGTGGGACTGAGATGCTGCCGCACGGAATAAGGGGATCCTCAAAAAGGTCTGGGCTCGAAGACATGGGAAACCGGGCCGCTATAGAACAAGACATACTGGATGACAGGGAGCCCATCAATTTCCAGCTCGGCGGAGCATGCAACAAACATTGCAAAGGTCAGTGAACCTAGTATCAGGGTTGAGCCCTGACAAGATCCCAAGGAGGGCAGTGCTGAATCGGATCAGCCCCTAGGGCCCATTTAATGCCTCCATGGTCTGATAGACTGAGCTACCTGAATATGGGCTGCCTCCCATCTGCAGGCATCGGTTGATTAACCCAGTGGACAGACTGCAGAGTCTATGCTGCTGAGTCCACTCTAGTTGCCTATTATATTATTACACAGCAATAAATGGACTTGAGTCACCATATATTATAGGTATAGGCTAAACGCCTTAGCACCCAGTGGTATTAGTCAGTGTTTCATTAAGCTTACATTGAGTTACTGGATTAACCAGCCTTATATACTATTGCTACTCAACTTACTTATCATCAGGTCTAGGCACCTTTTCTAGCTAAATAAGTTCAGTTTTCTCTTATTGTACTAGCGTGTATGCCTAGCCAGTACAGTTTACTTGTGTCATAAAAAAAAAAGTGCAGTATTTCACCTAACGCATGATAAGAAAAGCATTATGGTTACTATTATTTTCTATTTTGTATACTGTGTCTCATTAAGCTTGGAAATTGTACCAATGCACATCAAAATAAAGAATTAAAAAAAGAAAAATCAAATTAAATAAGTATGTTGTATTGAATCATAGTCATATAGCATAGACAAACAGCATTTCAGTCTTTGTGGGTAAAAAAATAACTGATCGAAGTGAAAAGTTACAAGAGATATGATTTCAATATCTTCCCACAAGGGAGGCACAATAAATGGCTTCTATTCCTACTTAACTCCATGTTTTTGGTGGAGAGGAGGGGAGGGGGGGAATAAGGGAAAAATTAACTGTGTAATTGCTACTAACTATGATGAAAGTTTCACAAAGGAGTGTTTTAAAAAGAGTCTCCTGCTCATATATATATATATATATATATATACTACAAATATAAATAAAGAGAAATTCTGCCATGCATGTCTTAATACAGATGGAAAAAGTTGAAAAGATTACTTACAGCAAAGCAGTTAAAAAAGTGAACAGAAACTTCAAAACGTATGTTACATTTAAGAAAGTCCACAGCAGCACCCTTATAATGTATGGATGTTCAGCCCTCATGGTTTCACAGGTGCCTCATCCCAGGGCCATATTTAACCTTGCACTGCAAAGAGCCCAAAGTGGAAGAGCATGCTTTAGGCTGCTTGGCTAGGACCTGTCAAGAATGGGGTACATTGGCATTGTAAGAGAGTGCTCTGGCTCTTGTATGATATATATAATGCACAAGATCCAGCACACTCACCTATCCACTAAACAGCAACTTCAATGTTGAAAGATTTTATTAGTTTTTTTTTTTTAAAACACCTGATCTAGGCAAAAATAATGGGGGTTTAGTTAAATTATATGATCATACATTGCATAAGCCTGCCACAACGCCAATATACCCCATCTTTGGCAGGTCCTACACTAACAGCCTAATGTCTGCCCTTATGAGATTAACCCACTTACTTGGGGAAAAAATTCCATCTGAGGCTCTCTGCAGTACAAGGCTAAATAGGGCACTGGGATGAGGCACCTGTGACAGGGAGGGGTGCAAAACCAAGGAGTTGGCTAGACTCCCAAATATATATATATATATATATATATATATATATGAAACAAGAGGGGGTTGACTACACTCACCTGAACATGCATAAATGGGGGTGCTGCTGGGGGCCAAATAATACAATATACAAGATCCAGCGCAGTCACCTATCCACTAAAAGCAACTTCAATGTTGAAAGATTTTATTCGTTTTTTTCAAAAACACCTAATCTAGGCAAAAATAATGGGGGTTTAGTTACATTATATGATCATACATTGCATAAGCCTGCCGCAACGTCAATGAACCCCATTTTTGGCAGGTCCTACACTAACAGCCTAATGTCTGCTCTTATGAGATTAACCCACTTACTTCAGGAAAAAAAAGTCCATCTGGGGCTCTCTGCAGTACAAGGCTAAATAAAATCTTTCAACATTGAAGTTGCTGTTTAGTGGATAGATGAGTGCGCTGGATCTTGTGTATTGTATTATTTGCCCCCCAGCAGCACCCCCATTTATGCAAGTTCAGGTGAGTGCAGCCAACCCCCCCTTGTTTCATATATATATATATATAAAACCAAGAGGCTGCACTCACCTGATACATTATAGGGTGCTGCTGTGGCTAATTCATCCAACATACAAGATCCAGCACACTCATCTATCCACTAAACAGCAACTTCAAGTCTCACAGAATGTAATAAGTTTATTTAAAACACCTCACCTAGGCAAAAACTAGTGGGAGTTTAGTTACAGTATATGATAATACAATGCATAAGCCTGCCACAATGTCAAGGTACCCCATTCTTGGCAGGTCTTACTCTAGCACCTAATGCCTGCTCAGTTATTGTAACTAACCATGTACCTATACTATAACTAAACCCTCATTGCTTTTGCCTAGGTGAGATGTTTTTAAATAAAACTATTACATTCTGTGAGCCTTGACTTTGCTGTTTAGCAGATGAGTAAGTGCTATTTTAAAAAAAGAAATCATTAAAAATCATTAAAAATTAAACTGTTAATAGCTTCCATCTGATTCCTCTCTTACAACTGTCATAAGTCTAATACTATCCTTACCTTTTTGTGTCATTTTACCCCACTCCCTCTAGCATGTAAGCTCATTGAGCAGGGCCCTCAACCCCTCTGTTCCTGTGTTCCAATTTGTCTGGTTACAACTACATGTCTGTCCGTCCACCTATTACAAAGCGCTGCGGAATTTGACGGCGCTCCATAAATATCATCATAATAATACTAATAATAATCTGATATGTTTTATATATGTGTGTCTGTGTGTGTGTGTATACACACATATATATTAAATATATAATATTTTTTTTCTCAGTTGATTTTTCAACCAAATGGAAGGAAAATGTGCCAGAGTACCAAAAGATATACACATAATAATAATATGATGTATGTATTTTGGAGTACCCATCTTTGAGCCCTTTTTGGTTTGCCTGAGTGTTTCCCTGACTAGTTTTTGATGAATGATGTTTAGCCAAACCAAACTGTCAGTTGTTCTGATAAATGTGTCAGATGTTATTTAAAAAAAAAAAAAAGAGAGAGAGAGCAGAAAGAATAGCATACATTTTGATGTATAGCTTAACTATCTAACCAATTACACTGTACAGCCCCATCCCATGAAGATTTTTCGCACAGGCGCCTAATAGCCTACGCATGCATGCGCATCTATTTCTGTAAAGTCATGTCAACATTATGACATCGATCAGCACAAACGAGCAGAAGTACCCGAATTCGGCATTCAGCCTAATTCACGTCTTTAGGCGCTCTAAGGTGATGCCAACCAATAATGTTATTGTCCTGATTATATAAAGCCAGGGCTTTCTGTAGCAAGTTGCCCTGTTGTGGTTTTTGTTTACACATAAGTGCGCTTTATTGTATTTTGGATTTCTTCTTACTGACTTTGGTTTGTTTATTTGTCTCATCGTTCTCCGTGTTCCTGGCCTTGACTTGTTTCTCATTTATTCTGTTTTCTCCTACGCTTGACATTGGCTTTCTCTCTAACTACTCTTTACATTAAACCCAGCCATTGTAAGGCCAAGTAATATGTGTTATATATCTCTTCACACCAAAAGATCGTGTGATCAAATTCATCTTCTTGATTATGTATATTTTGGCGTTATGGGAAAATAGAATTCAACCCTGTTGTATATATATTTACAGGTTTACTATAGTCCCTTACCCTATTGTGTTTATTGATTAAATATTTACTGACTCTGGCCTGTCCCTTTATATTGTGTCTTTGTGCTCCATGATCATGGCTTGTTAACATTGACATTCTGTTTGCCTGTGGTTAGTGCTAGCCCGGCCACTCTAAGGACCAGTATGCACTTGTATCCTGTCTCTGTCTAGGTTTGTGTGTTAGGGTTAGGTTAGAGTTGATATTTGCCAAATGTTGTGGTATAAATGTATTTTTCCTTACAATATATTTTTTTTATGTGACAGAAAAAGGCTAAGCGAGTTATAAGAGCTTCCAAATCACACACAGAAGAGAAAATAGCACAGTCAGTAAAAAAAGGGGACAAAACATTTTTTAGATACATAAGTGAGAAAAAAAGTAAAACAAGGATTAGTTAGATTAAAAACAAAAGTAGGAAGGTATGTAGAAGAGGATAAAGGTCTAGCTGACTGTCTCAATTAATATTTTTGTTCAGTATTTACAGGTGAATGACAGGCAACAGAGGGTTGTAGTCAATGGAGTATATTCAAAGCATGGTCTTGTCACCAGTAGGGTACCTCAGGGATCTGTACTTGGATCCATTCTCTTTGATATTTTTATTAGAGATATTGCAGAAGGTCTTTATGGTAGGGTATGTATTTTTGCTGATGAAACTAAGATATATAACAGGGTTTATGTTCCAGGAGGGATAAGCCAAATGGCAAATGATTTAGGTAAACTAGAAAAATGGTCAGAGTTGTGGCAGCTGACATTTAATGTGGATAAGTGCAAGATAATGCATCTTGGACGTAAAATCCCAAGGACAGAGTATACAATATTTGAGAGTCCTAACCTCTACATCCGAGGAAAGGGATTTAGGGTTAATTATTTCTGATGACTTAAAGGTAGGCAGACAATGTAATAGCGCCAGCGGGAAATGCTAGCAGAATGCTTGGTTGTATAGGGAGAGGTATCAGCAGTAGGAAGAGGGAAGTACTCATGCCATTGTACAGAACACTGGTGAGACCTCACTTGGAGTATTGTACGCAGTACTGGAGAGCATATCTCCAGAAGGATATTGATACTTTAGAGAGAGTTCAGAGAAGGGCTACTAAACTGGTTCATGGATTGCAGGATAAAACTTACAAGGAAAGGTTAAAGGAACTTAACATATATAACTTGGAGGAAAGACGAGACAGGGGGGATATGATAGAAACATTTAAATACATAAAGGGAATCAACACAGTAAAGGAGCAGACTATATTTC